GACCTTCAATTCCCACCCCGAGGGTTGAAAAAAGCTTAGCCAGGTCATAATACTGCTGCTATAAGCCAGGGGAGGGTGGTTTCTTTGTTTTGTTTTGTTTTGTTTTTTAAATTTCCAGCCAAAACCAAAGATTTCTTAATGATTGTATAAACTCAAAACAAACAAAAAAACCAAAGAAAGGGGAAGTCTTCAGCATCAGTCCAACCTGTGGCGTCCTGGCACTTAGAAGAGTGAGGCTGGGGCAGTGGGGGAGCCTCCGACCAATCAGAGAGGGCAGGCAGCTGTCAGCCACCTTCTGGGCTTTTCCACAGGTGCATGCTGGGCAGCTGTGGCCCTTGCCAACTTGCAGGCATGCCAAGAAACGAATTGGCATTCAGATTTTCCAAACAAAGACAGAACCCCATCACCACCATAATCCACCCTACAACAACCAGGGTCACCACAGGGATTTAGCACAGGGACTAGGGAGGGTGGGAGCCACTGCTGAACTGGCCGAGGACTCCACAGAGTGGGGGACATTGAAGACACTGGTGCAGGATTGGCTGCTCTGCTGGGTGCTTTAACCTCTGGGGCTGGGCGAATGCACGCCAAGGGGCCCTTCAGAGCCTTTTTTATCTTTTCCTTTACTGGAACTGCTTGGAAGTGGCTGGCCTGTGTGTGAGAAAACATGCAGAAAGATTATCAAGCTTTTCATTTCTCTTTATTGTAGTTTTGTTTCCTTTTTGCAGCACCACTGTGCAACTATGCATTGTATTTCACAACCTTTTGTGCTAGGTAGATGCCTGTGACTTTTTAACTTGGGGGGGTGGGGGGATTGCAAATGAAGGAACTTTTTACATGGATCTTTTTAATCTCAGTTGATTGGGGGAGGGGGGTATTTGGTTCTAGGGTCATACAAGCTCTATCCCAAAGCAAAATCCAAATGTTAATAATATTAGCCTGATGCAGATACCAAAGATAATTTCTTTCCTGCAGAACCTTAGACTTGTGTATTAAGTACGATTACCCAGCACTTGCATTAGTCTAACCTCAGTAATTCCAAAGCTTAGATGTATATTTTGGTATATTTCTGGGATATTAAAAAAAAATGTTGTTTAACTTCTTGTTTGTTTCAGTGTAATGCTCTTAAAGTCATAGCATGAAAATAATTGAACTGTCCTATTCTTAGTAGTTTGAAATAATAGTATTTTTGTATGTTTTGGGTGTGTCTATGTATGTATTAACATAACAGTTTTCACTGCCTAGGTGTTCATAATAAAAAAGAAAATGAAAAAGTTTCGAGTGTACATAATATTCAATAATAATCTTCCACCAGGTGTCAATTTGGATTGCCCATTCCTGTTCCCAGTCGGGATTTTGTTTTGTTTTAAAGAGACAGTGATCGTGTTTTTCTAAAGACATTTTCTTTCTCTCTGTCTTTGAATATCTTCACTCCCCCACCTCTTCTCTTCTTTCTTTTTTTTTTTTTTAATTATTAATTCAGGGGTGTTTTTCCACTGTTGTCAAGGGAGAAACATGAGGGGAATTGGCCCCTTGGCCTCCCAGAACTTTCTGTTTTATGTACTTTAAAATGTGAGTTTGAGTTCTTCTTTGTGGAAACTTAAGATGTGGTGTAAATGATTCTTTCCAAAACTGTCCAGCAGCTTTATGAGGCAGTGACAATTCCTAGGTAGTTTATTGGGAGTCCTGCATTTCTCCTTACTTAGATCACTCTGCAATCTGGGTGGCTATTGTATAGCCTCACTGCCCCAGAGCGCTTGTTTAGCCATTTCCCCTCGATAGGAATATTTTATAAGAATCAGCTGATAACTTGGCGTGCTGGTCCTTGTTATCTATGCCCCTGGGAAACACATGTTTTCTTGGTTTTCAAAACCTGAAACACAAGCGACTTTACATTTTGGGGAATTAGCTGATGATACCTCCTGAGGCCTGAGGAGGTGGTGGGGGAATATGAGCGGTGCTGTCTCTTTAAAAGTGCCCTTTATGTGATTCCCCTCCTGGGGCTGCCTGCAGGGGCTGTAGGCTTGGGAGAGATTGTGTAGGTGACAGTGAATCAGAATGAAATGGTAGATTTTGTGTAGATGCATTTGTCTGCTGTAATTTTTTATATATATATTAAACTTACTGTAACTGTACAGTTCATTTCTGTTGTAAAACATCATTAAACCATTTTCCAAGTGTTTTCACATTGTTGGAGTTTCTTTGAAGTTGCTGTGTTGGTGGTCTGGATGCTCCACCCACACGCATCCTCACAGCCTGCTTGCACAAACCTCCCAAGGTATTTTTTCTGGTAGGTGCTCTCAGGAACCCCAGAATCATAAGCATTCGGTTCTGCCTCCCTGCCCCCACAAGCTCCTGCCTTTCAGACTTCCCCCCTGGGCTCCACAGGGAGCTGCGGTCACTGCATAAACCACTAGCTGTGGTTTAGTGGGGGCCCTGAGCTGAGCAGCAGTCCAAGCAAGCTGCTTCAAGTGATCAAACACTCGGGCCCTTGATTGATCCTGGGAGAGCGCTCTTCACAGCTCCCAGCTCACTATGGATTTGACTGCAGAACTAGGATTGAACTCGACTTTTCCAAATGTATTGTTGAAACTACCGTGCCCCTCTAGCATTTCTGGCCAAGTCCTGAACATCGTTCTCCGGGGAAGCTGACCTGAGCTTGGCACCCGCCCTCCTGTGGAAGGATGCACAGCGTGGCGCCCTCTGGCGCGTGGCACTTGTCCGCATTCAGTGTCTTAATACGGTTCATTGACCTCATAGAAAGGAAAGTTTGAATTCTAAAATGAATTCCCCATAGAGAAAAAGCTGCAACTTGTTGAAGAACTTTGGGAAGTTCCCTGTCACGTACTGACAGTCTGATGACCTTCTCCTTGAGATAGGTGATAGGCAGGGAGAGCTGTAGCGAAATGTCCTAGAAGGGGACCAAATTGGGAAGACAAATATTGGGTCCTCTTCTCCACTGCTCCTACATCAAAAGAACTTCTCCTTTCCATTCTATCCCCTCTTACATTTATCGCTTGCATTTACATTTGTAAAGTTGTTTCCTTAAAGTAATTTCAAGTTTTTAACAAATGGACTTTAGCAAGCAAAACCCACTCATCACATCTGAGAGAATGGAGATAAACTAGTGAGGAGAAGATTCTGTTACCCTATGGTCCTTTTTTACAAAGTGTTAGATTCTAACCCTCTTCCGGGGATGCATACAAAGCTGATATTAGTAGTGTCTGTCCTTACTCTTTTCTCTGTGGGGAGCCTTTTCTCTCTTCAAATAGGGACTGAAGTCATTGAGCTGACATGGCCAGCACCAAGCACCCAACACCCCCCCCCACCCCAAGTTATTCATGGACAGAGCAAGGCCCACAGCTAAGCAGGTGGCCAAGTGACAAGGCTTTAACTCACCTCTGGAGTTGTCCTCAGCTTAAATTCGTCATGTGCCCTTTTTTCCCTGCTAGGGCTGGCTTTGGTGTTTTAAATATCATCACTCTGTTCACAGGTGTCCTGTGAACCAGGAACCTTGAGTCTTATTCCAAGAATAACCTTGAATCGTACTGTAGAAAGAAAGACAAGTGATCAGAAATACCTACCTTCTACCTCTGAATTTAGTGACATTGAAGCAATGCACTTTTGCAGATATTGAGAGCATTTTATATGTGTCTTGGTTCCTCAACAAGTAACATTCTCTATTTCCTTGATTCTAGGACACATCTTCACATTTTGACAAATGAAACAAAACTGCATCTTACAATGGATATTTATATTTAACATAATGTTTCTTCCCTTGAAATAACGTGATGGTGCATCCTGTCTTAAAATTAGCAGTGTCTTGGGATGGAGGGGAATACACTTGTGCTTTGGAGAGGGCACTGCCAGACCTCAGGAAGGGCAGGAATCCTAGGGATTTCAGAGGTATCTCTCACCTTGCATCCAGGGCATCACTGTCAGAAACTGGTTTCGCAGCCCTGGCTCTGAGCACACCTGCTGGTCCTGTCCACCCCACCCCCGTTCACTGTAGCTACCACACATGTGGCCTGAAATGCCCTGCAGCCTGGGTTAGCTTCAGCACCGCAGCTCACTTCCAGCTTCCCTCCTCACCTCATGAGACACACTTGGCAGAATTAGGTCAAACGCTCTTATTTTCAAGCCAGCCATACAGGTCACACAGCCCATATATAACTTTGCTCACCTTGAAACGAGGTTTAGCACAACCCCTAGGTATGAAGTGCACTCACTTTCACTAACAGATGAGCCAGCCTTCAGTTTTAAAATCCCAGCAAGTAGCAGAGTTTTTCTGAGGCCAAGTTCCAAAGCAAATAAATGCCTTCTCTGCTTAGTGGCCTGTGAGTTGTTACACCTGACACCTGCCTGGCAGTGAAGGGCATTGCTCCAGTTGGAATTCCAAATTTTCAAGGGCTTTGAATAGTCACGGTCTTTGACTTCTGCTTTGAAAAAATCAAAGTCTTTATGTAATGTTAATGGGTACGCTTGGTGAGTTGGGACCTTATGTGCAGCCACTGCAGTTAGAGGATATACTGGTAGGGACAGGGCCAGCTTTCCTGAGAGAAACTGACCTAACAGACCTCTGTTCTCTCCTGAACCCCATGGACTGAGGTATTCTGTGCTATGGGTAATTCCCAGACACCCTCTGCTCACGTGCCGCTTCTTGCTGACACCTGAATGAGAGGGTGGCCTCTCCTGCATCTTTTCCTGTGCCACAAGCTGGGCGCCATGCTGCAGGCTCCTTTCCCATGGCCCACTCTGGTTCTCGTGCAGCTGAGGACCAACCTGACACTATACCATACCACCCCTGCTCACTTTGCACCGTGTGACACTGTCCTCATGGCAGCCTTCTGGGCCACAGGGACCTGCGCTCACCTGCCAGTTTAGAGGAGTTGTCCTGTTCACTCTCTGAACCCTTCCCCCAAGGGCAACCTGCTGATTTCCTGATGACTAAATTGTCATTACAGGCTTGAAACAAAGCTTAGAGTGCAGCAGTATTTTTTACTGAAGCAGTTTTTATTATGCAAAATAGTGAGGCCTTAGCAATCCAGTACAGTATAAATTAAAACCAAGTAGAGCAGAGAGGCTTTCCCTTCCACGGTCATGTGCCCTTTAATTAAACAGCAATGTTCCAGGCAGGCTGACTGAGGATTTCCCAACATGCCACTGTCCCCTGGGATCCTGACAGTTCTCGTGGTGTCGCATCTTTCCTCGAGGCCTTCACAGTGAAGAGCTGACAACGTTCATCCACTGCAAGTCCCAGGCAGCCCAAGGGCCGGGAAGAACATAGGCTCGCTGCCCAACTTCTCCTGCTCCCGCATGCTCTGTTCATGTTGTGTAATGACATCATGATGTGTTTTATACCAGTTTGTGCACAATTCAGAGACGGTCCTGTTCATCTTCCAGCCCCGTAGTGCCCGGCACACATGCACGAATGTGGAATGTAGGCCTCGTGGAAGGAGGCCCCTGGCTGCCCTCATGCCCCATACCTTCCCCGCTAGCCATTTACCCCTTCCCAAATGCCCATCCCTTTCACAGGTAGGTATAACACAGCCCTGTTACAAGTTACCCTAAAAGGAAGGAAAGTCTAACAACAGAAACCAAATTTACAACAGAGCAAAGCCACTCAAATACTGACCGGACGATAGCGACTATTAGGACATGTGCTAGCATCTGGGGACTTTACAAAGCACAGAATCAGCAACTCAGCTGTGAGAGGGAGTGTGGCTGCGTCCCAGTGACAGTGCAGAGACACCTCTCAGTGACAGCCCAGGGCCGCCAGGAGAGGCGTCTGCTTATGGTCACCAGCAAGCCAGAAGTCCCAAGATCAGGGCTATAACCCTGGGGCATGCATTCCCCTAAAAGAGTCCAGGGACAAGATTCTGGTTCTGATGGTTTGGAATCGGATATGACCAAAGCATCCTAGTCACAAAGAGGAATACTTTGGTAGTCAAGAAATATGAGTGAACTGGGTTGATAAAGATCTTGTGTCTCACAATCTGGGCGTCTACAGGTCTGGCCTGTGAGGGTTGCAACCCCTGGCTGTTAGCGAGGGGGCAGGGCCTGCATGTGGAGGGCATCATAGGTATCCTTGGTGGCTGTGCTGAGCCCCTGTGAAAACAAATCAGAAGAGAAGAGTCTCAGTCAGGAGCCTCTGTAGGCAGGAACCAACCCAGAGCCAACAGATATGACCTCCCACCTAGCTCCCAGGAAGACTCCCCTCACCCCACAGGCAGAAGCCTGGGCTGAGAGGACTGCAGGAGACATGGGTCTGTGCCCTGCTCAGAGTGGCCTTGTGGGAACTCTTTCCCAGCTAAATTCTCACTCCTCTTCCCAGCTTCCCAAGTGCCATGAGCTACAGCACTTGGGCCCAGCCAACTTCTGTCAGAACAAAGAAGAGGGGGCGTCTCCCACCTCTAATACAGAGCTAGAAATAAGGGACGGGGCCGTGCCTGCACTGGAGACGCTGCTGTCCCTGGTACCTGGGCCCACAGGCAGCCTGGACTTGTCACAGGGAGAGAATGGGGGCTTCTGGGCCTCAGCCCTCCTCCATGCACCTCCTTCCCAAGCCCTGCTATTCCAGTACGTTCTTTGTCAGGGCACAGGTAGGTAAGGCTGTCCCAATCTGGCTAGAACGCCTCTCTCTGGTCCAGCCAGGGGCCAGGAAGAAGGGAGAGCAAAAGCAGCCACACAGGCGGGTTTCTGTGGCTTTTCTGATGCTACCCTCAACTCAGCCAAGCCGGGCATCGCGACACTCTGAAGTCAGAAAAGCGAGTTGTGAGCAGCCCAGTGGAGCCATGAGGAGAGAGAGGAGAATCTTGGAGATCATGTTTTAGAGAAATGGGTTAACTGTGCTTCATTTGCATGATGATTTGCATAAACCAGACACCTGACTGAAATAACATTTTCCTTTTGAAGTTAGCTGTTTTTTTCCTCCATCTTCCCACCCTTCCTCTCATCTTACAAGGTCTAAGGATACAAGGCAGAGCCAGGTTTCTGCAAGGAAGGGCCCAAAGCAGTGGGCAGAGAGGCAGGAAATCGCTCGTGTGGTGTCCTTTGCCTACATTTGCACCTGTGGGGAGACCGCACACCCTCCTGCACCACAGTGCACGGGGCTGCCACAGCCTCCTTGCTGGAGCCAAGCAGTTTGCTTGAATGGCTAAGTGCCACCCTACCCCAAGGATTTTCTGGCCATAGAGTCACCACTGGCCAGAATGAATGCCCTGCATTTGCCCTGCCCAGCTGTTGGCAAAAGCTGGTACCACCAACAAACAAAATGTGAGAGCTTTGATCTTGCCCCCTGTCAGATGCCCCCCACAGCCCACCAGAAGGAACTTGGCAGCTCGTACCTGGTACAGGGCATCGTGTCCCTTGCCTCTCCTCCTCTGGTTCTTTGGAAGTGAAATGAGAAAAGGATTAGAAAGTCAGGCAGTCAGCAGGGGCTTTTCTGCTCAAAGGTCCCCAGAAAGTCAGGGGTGACTTGTCTCCCAGCAGGACACCTGTCAGACCCCTCAGGCCCCAAACCACACCGAGGTCTTGCTCTGAAAGAGACCGGGTTTTGCTCTGCCCGTTCAGATACTAACAAATATCAGATTCCTAGGATCTGGGTCCCCTGGGGTCTGGCTCTGTTGTTCACTGCTTGGAAGGAATAGGCTTCCCTTCGGTTCTTAAATTCTTGCCTGGTTGTCAAAGCTTGCTGGGCTGGCAATGAGCCCTTCTGAAAAGTTACAGCTCTGGCATAGTCAGTTCAAATCCTGACTCCCAGGCTGGATGTGGAGGCTCATGCCTGTAATCCCAGCACATGGGAGGCCTTGGTGGGTGGAATGCCTCAGTTTACAGGTTTGAAACCAGCCTGAGGCAGAGGGAGATCTCGTATCTAAAAATAGCCCAGCGTTGTGGCAGGTGCCTGTAGTCCCAGCTACTTGGGAGGACGAGGCAAGAGAATCACTTGAGCCCAAGAGTTTGAGGCTGCTGTGAGCTGTCACAGCACAGCACTCTACATAGGGCAACAAAGCAAAACTCTCAAAAAAAAAAATCCTGGTTCCCCTGTTTATTAGCTGTGTGAGCTTGGATAAGTTACTTAACCACCTGTGCCTGGCAGGGCACATGTTTCTCATCAAGTTATTGTGAGAATTAAATAAAATGACAGAAGGCCCCTGCCTAGGAGGGTGCAATGTTTCACTCTATTTTGAAATTCTTAATCATTTGTGAACAAGGGACCCCATGTTTCATTTTGCCCTGGGCCCGGCAGTCCTGAGCTTTGAACACACATAAAACGCTCAACGCTTATTAAAAGTGACCTGTTTTTGCCAAGTTTCACAAATCTAGATTTGGTTTTTGGTCCTGAAAGAGGATCAGCCCCTAGTTTCTTATAAACTATTGACCTGGATGAGAGCTGGGTTCACCTTTCCCCTATGGTGGCCACCACATTGGCTTTTTTTTTTTTTTTTTTTTGCAGTTTTTGGCCGGGGCTGGGTTTGAACCCACTACCTCTGGTATATGGGGCCAGTACCCTACTCCTTTGAGTCACAGGCACTGCCCCACCACACTGGCTTTAGCAGGTGGGATTTAGAGTGGATGGGAAAGGTCTGCGGCAGGCACATCCAGAAGAGCACAAGGAACTCCTTTGGAATTAAGGAAGAGCAACACTCACCTCGCCTTTTACCTTAATCTCGCTGTAGGCCTCTGCCATCTTGTCTTTCTGCAGGGCCTGGGGAAGAGGGGTGAGACTCTGATTTTACTGACTAATGCAGTAGGTCCCTGCAAGAGGGAGCCCCTTGATTCCCAGGTACTCAGGGGCTCCCACAATCAAGGCTTCAAATCTTATTCACACCAATTTCTCTGCCCACAACCAGCTCCTCCCCCTTCTCCTCTTGTCCTCAGCCCCTTGGAATCTCCTCTAAGCTGCCAGCCCTCTGCGCTGAGCTGAGAAGCTCAGGTTAGGGCTCAAAAGGACAAGATGTGACGCTCTAGACAAAGACCTGGGATTGGACAATACAAGGGCTCTACAATACCTGAAGCCCCCAGAATCACATATTTGCCTCTTCACACAGCCAACACCAGGGACTGGAACCTGGTGGAACCCCACCCCACCTAGGAGGGACCTTGGCGACCCATTTAGAGAAGGCTACAGGCTACCACCTACAAGGGGACCCTGCGTGGCAGACCCAGATCAATGGTCTAAGAAGGACAGTCAGGTTCACTCCCAGGATGGTGAGGTTGACCTTCCAGTGAAAAGAAACACTCGGGAGAACCCTCCAGCCCTCAGAGGGGCCCACCAGCTTGACCTCGCTGCAACCCCTACACCCCAGGCTGACCAACTTAGGACCTCCAGCAGTAGGCACGGGGGAGAGAGGGAAGACAAGAGGAGGGGAGATAAGTTGTCACTTTTCAGTGAAGGGGTCTTTCTAGAAGCAGGTGCTACTGTAGGCAGCAAGCAGGTGAGACATTATTTGACCCAGGGAAGGGACGGTCTGGATAAAGATGATGGGGAAACATCACCCAGAGCCCCCCTTCAGCCTTTCCCTTCAACTTTCCAAGGTAAAATGTGAAAGCTTCTTTACTCACATTGTATAGGCCTTCCTGAGGATTCTTCCTCCTCTGCTAGGAAAGAAAACGGGGACAAAGTTATGGGCAAAGAAAGGTGAATCCAGGCCATGAGAGCCACATCCTGCTCCTGCTGCCCCGGCCCCTCTTCTCCCCAGGCTCCCCAGCCTTGCCAGGCCGCTGTGGGGCCACAGTACCACACAGCCCATACTTGGTTACATTCATTTGAATGTACACTTCACCCTCCCCAAGGGACCCAACCAAACCCAAGATTGCCCAGAACAGACCATGGGAATCTCTGCTAATGGCCTGTCTATTGAAAACCTTATAAGTGGGACTTATAACTGATGACAGTAGGCACCAGGTACCCTCATTTGGGGCAGGGCCAGCCACTGCAAGGCAGATCCAACTGAGAGGTGGCCCATGCCGTCCTAGTATAGACAAGAGGAGGAGAGAAGAACCGCACCTAGAGCATAGCGCCAGGAGTGATCAGCAACACCAGGGGCATCTCTACTGCCCATTCAGTTGAGCAACAGCATGCCTGGGAAAGGGCTCAGAGGGCCTGGACAGGGGCTGATGGACAGTTGTGACCAGAAACATCAAAAGCCAGTGGCAGCATCAGGCAGTACCTGATGCCCCAGGTACCTTATGGGGCAGCCCCAGCCTTTGTCCTGAGCCCTGCTCTTAAGATGAGCCTAACAAACCAAGTTCTACAACACATTGAAAGGGCTGCATGCCATCTCAGATGAGATTTATCTCTGGATACAAGGATGATTCAACATACACAAATCAATAAATTTGATAGACAGCATTAACACAGTACAGGACAAAATCACATGATCATTTCACTAGATGCAGAAAAAGCCTTTGACAAAATTCAGCATCCTTTCATGTTAATTAAATTCTCAACATATTAGGTATAGAGGGAATGTACTTTAACACCATAAGGGCCACAAACCCACAGCTAATATCATATCCAACAGGGAGATGTTGAAAGCTTTTCTTCTAAAATCTGAAACAAGGGTTGCACCTGTGGCTCAGTGGGTAGGGTGCTGGCCCCCTATACTGAAGGTGGTGGGTTCGAACCTAGCCCAGCCAGCCAAAACAGCAGTGGCAACTGCAACAAAAAATAGCTGGGTGTTGTGGTGGGCACCTGTAGTCCCAGCTACTCAGGAGGCTGAGGAAAGAGATGGCTTAAGCCCAAGAGTTGGAGGCTGCTGTGAGCTGTGATGCCATAACATTCTACAGAGGGTGACAGAGACTCTGTCTCAAATAATAATAATAATAATAAAATCTGAAACAAGACAAGGATACCCACTCTGAACAATCCTGTTTAATACTGTACAAGAGGTCCCAGCCAAACCAATTAGGCAAAAGCAAGAAATAAAAGTAACTAATCAGAAAGAAAGAAGTTAAATTGTCCCTATTTGCAGATGACATATCTTATACATAGAAATCCCTGAAGATTTCACCACAAAAAAAAAAAAGAAAAACTGTTAGAACTGAAAAAGGAATTTAATAAAGTTGCAGAACACAAAATCACACAAAAATTGGTAGCATTTCTCTATAACAACAAACTTTCTGAAAAAGAAATCAAGAGAATAATCTCATGTACAATAGCTCAATAAAATACTTAGGAATAAATTTAACCAAAAGTAAAAGACCTGTACACTGAAAATTATATAATTAATGAAATTGAAAAAGACACAGATAAATGGAAAGCTATCCCATGTTCATAAATTGAAAGAATTAATATTGTTAAAATATGCTCTCCAAAATAATCTACAAATTCAATGTAATCCCTATCAAAATTCCAATGCCATTTCTCATAGATATAGAAAAATGCTAAAATACATATGGAACGACAAAAAAAAAAAAACAGTCAAGGCAATCATGAACAACGCTGGAGGCATCACACTATCTGATTTCAAACTACACTACAAAGTGATAGTAATTAGAACAGCATGGTACTGATATGAAAATAGACACATTAACCAATGACTGGAACAGAATAGAGAGCCCAGAAGAGAATCCACCCACCTATGGTCAGTTGATCTTTGACAAAGGTGCCAAGAATGTATGATGGGAAATTGACAGTTTCTTCAATAAATAGTGTTGGGAAAACTGAATATACATATTGAAAACTTGTTTCATTGTACTACTTACAAAAATCCACTCCAAACTGATTAAAGACTTAAACATAAGTCTTTGCTTTATTTGTTTTGTTTTTGAGACTGGTTCTTACTCTGTTGCCTGGGCTGGAGTACAGTGGCATCACCACAGTCACTGCAACCTCAACTCCTGAACTCAAGTCATCCTCTTGAGCCTCCCAAGTCGCTGGGACTATAGACATGTGCCACCATGTCCAACTTTTAAACATAAGTCTTGAAACCATAAAACCAGTAGAGAAAAACATAGGGAGAAACTCTAGGACATTGGTCTAGATGATCATTTTTTTTTTAGCTTTGACTTCAAAAGCACAGGTAACAAAAGCCAAGATAGACAAATGGGATTACATGAAAATAAAAACCTTCTGTACATCAAAGGAAACAATTGGCCGGTCCTGGTGGCTCACACCTGTAATCCCAGTGTTCTGGGAGGCTGAGGCAGGTAGATTGTCTGAGCTCAGGTGTTGGACACCAGCCTGAGCAAGAGTGAAACCCCATCTGTGTTAAAAATAGAAAAACTAGCCAGGTGTTGTTGTGGACACCTGTAGTCCCAGCTACTTGAGAGGCTGAAGTAAGAGGCTGGCTTGAGCCCAAGAGTTTGCAGTTGCTGTGGCGCTGAGCTATGGCACTCTACTCAGGTGATTAAGTGAGTCTCAGAAAAAAAAAGAAAAAGGAAACAATTAACAGAGTGAAGAGATGATCTACAGATTGAAAGAGAATATTTGCAAGGCATACAACAGATAAAGGATTAATATCTAAAATATATAAGGAACACAAACAATTCCATAGACAAAAGTAATTACTTAAGAAATGGACAAGAAACCTGAATAGACATTTCTCAAAAGAAGACATAAGAATAGCTACAAGATATATGAAAAAATGGGTGATGCAAATCAAAACCACAAGGAGATATCATCTCATAACTATTAGGATGGCTATTCTCAAAAAGACAAGGCAACAAGCATTGGGAGAGGATGTGGAGGAAAGGGAACTTTTGTATGCTGCTGATGGAAATGTAAATTAGTAAAACCATTATTCTGCTGGGTATTTACCCCAAAGATTTGACATTAGTTTGTTGAAGAGACACCTGCATTCCCATGTTCACTGCCTCACTATTCACAATAGCAGAGATATGGGATCAACCCAAGTGTCCATCAGGGATGAATGGATAAAGAACGCGTGGTACGTATGCACAGTGAAATATTATTTAGCTTTAAGGCAGGAAGAAACTCTGTCACTTGCAATAACATGGATAGAATGGGAGAACATTATGCTAAGTGAAGTAACCCAAACACAGAAACACAAACCCCGCATGCTCCCACCTACATGTGGAATCTAAAACAGTGGAACTCCTAGAAGCAAAGAGCAGGATGGGTGGGGTACTGCAAAGATGGAAGTCAAAGGGTCCAGAGCCTCAGTTAGATTACAGGAATAAGGTTGACTTTTTTTTTTTTTAAGATTAGATCAATAACACAGCACACTGAATCTAGTTAATAATTGACTGTACATGTCAATATTGCTGAGAGTAAATTTCTAATGTTCTCATCACAAAAAAAGTTAAATATTTGCCATGTATTAATCATCCCACACTGTATTAAAAAAATCACAAACTCCACTTTGGACCCCATAAATATATATACAGCTACAACGTGTCAATATACAATAAAAATAAAATAAATATAACTAGGATGAAGGAGGAAGAAAAGAGGACCCTAGCCTGGCCTCATCTAGTGGCTTCCCTCCCCTCAGGGTGCAGAGTCTACAAAGACAAGACAACAGAGCCACCAGGGCTGGTACCCTGACCAGGCTCCTTGTCCAGTGGTCTTGGGCCCCTGCCTGGGTGGGTCTCTTCTTCACCAGGTCTCCCCTCCCCGGGTAGATGGTGCCACCATGTGTGCGTCTCAAGGTGGCCAAGGAGCAATGTGAGGGAATGTGGGTGGAGCTGAGATATGGGAATTGGGGGGCCACTTACAGGCATGAGGCCCTTTGAGATCCAGAATGGAACCAAGGAGGTAAGAAGGGGCAGCAGCAGGTGGGTCTTCACCTGTCTTCTTGCCCGAGGCCCCACACGTGTTAGTGTCCCATCTGGTTGCAGAGTGTGCTGGTGCTGAGCCGGTCTCTCAGAGCCACCCTGTGCCCCAGCAGGGCTGAGTCCCCCGGGCCCCTGCCCCGACACACACACACATATACACACAGAGGCAGAGAAAGGGGTTCCCTACCTGCTTCCCTCCCATTTCAGGATCGGGCACCCGTCTCTTATCCAAAATGTCATACTCCTCTCTCCGTCCTAGATTGAGCTCCTAAAACAGACAGGAGAATGTTAGGCTCAGGAAAGAGGAACCTCAGGAGGATGAGGCCAGCTGGTTTCCCTCTCTCTGGTGGCTCACAAGAAATGGGGGAGACAGATGAGAGGGTGGTAACTGGTCCATCTGGATGCCACCGTCTCCGAGAACACACAATGCTATGCGGGTGGACCGTCTCAAAGTGCTTTTCTTACTATATGCTGGTCAGTAACAACGTTGTCATGAGCAAATCAAGAAACTGGGGCTTGGAGAGGGAGATAGATTCAACCCCAGACCCACTGCACAGGGGTGTGCAGTTGCTTCCACCTCAGCTGTGAAGATTCTAAGACATTCCCTCTCCACCCCCTCCAGCAATTGCAAATTGCTGATGGCCCAGGGCTCATCCGCCGGCAGGGGCTTTATTAAGCGCCACCAGTGCGGCCCATTCATCAAACCCTTTAAGCGCATGTGGTCCTCAAAGTGCCCCATCATGGGTACAGCGACGATTCCCGTTTTAGGGGTTAGAAAACTGAGATTAAACAAGTTGCCGCTGCGTCCAAGAGCTGATAGTCCAGGGCCAGATCTAACGCCGAGACTCCAGACTGCGCGTTTCCCTACGTCCCAGCAGAGGACGGTCCCTCCTTTCTGCACGGGTCTCGGTTAAGGCTGACTTACATTGTAGAGCTGGTTCTGGCCTTGCTGGTGCGCGGAGTTGTCTGCGCTCCTGCTGAACTGGAACACAAGAGAGCCGCGCATTACTGCTCCGCGCGTGGGCGCTCAGGGCGCCAGGGCCCGCGGTGACCCGAGGGACATCCCTGCTCCCCTGCTGGACAGCAAACAGCGGGCGCTCAGCCAGCTGGGGCCGAGCCTGGCCGGGCCGGGGCGTGGCAGCCCTTTTTCTCAGCTCAACTGTTTTTTTCTCCTCCCACCTGTGACACGCGCGTCCGCCTCCCGGGCCCGGGGCCCGCGGGAGTTTAGCGTCCCCGCAAGTGCCCTCGCGCGTGCGCAGAGGTGCGGACTCGCGGCCGCGCTCCCGGGAGTCGGGCGGATTCTCCAGGGAGGCTGGGGACAGTCCAGGGTGGATGGGGCACACAAGGTCCCATCTTCTAGCCTCTGATCTTGACCCCTGGGCCTAAGTGCTTTCTGTGCACCATAACCTGGAGGCACCCGCGCCGGGTGGCCTGGCGCTGGCCTCGTGGCCTGAGTGTCC